ATAATCAGCATAAGAAATGGGTTGAGGTCGAAATTGAGTTGACCAAGTCATAGTAGTGATATCAAGTATATTCATATCATTATAAAAAGTAACTATCCTACTGTTAAAATTTCTTCCCCCAAAAATAAAAATCTTTCCGTTATTATCAATAACAGTTTGAATTTCATTACGTGTTGCAAAGCTAGAATTAAAATTATTAATGCTTGTTGGTATCCATTGTGAAGTCTTAGAATTAAATGCATATACTGATGATACATATTTGTAAGTTGCAGTATTTGGAGTATATGTTCTTCCACCAACTAAAAAAACTGTAAAATTATCAATAGGACTAAGACATGAACTGCCGTAAGCATATCCTACTGGCATTCCGATATCTTCATGCCATAGTGGTGTAGTTATGCTAAATGAATTTGACAGGTCAAGATACCAGACTTCATTAGATCTATGAATAGATGGAGATGAACCTCCAAAGAAATAAAGCTTAGTACCAACTAATGTGCTAGTTTGCAGATATCTAGCGTCAGGAGTATCATGACAAATAACAAAACAACATACTGAGCTAAATATGACAAAAATAAGAAGGTTGTAAAAAAAATTCATATTGAAATAATTTTTTTCCTAGTCAGAATAAATGAATTTAATTCCTCTATTTTAAATTTTCATCACAATACTGTATTTGCTATAGTTGCGTAAATTGTCGTTAGTCTTTTAAGAAATACAGTACGTACTTTACGTACGTATGTAGAAACTGGATTTTATATCTAATAACGTAGCAACGAATGTCGTACTCGAAGTTGTGCAGATTGAACTTAATTAGCCCCCAAAATTAGATCTTCTTGAATGCATAGTGTTACGTTTGGTTCGGATTACGAATGATCGAGTGAAATATGATGAACTTTGAGTGAAGATAGCCGGTCACTCGCCTTGAACCATTCGTAAAGTCTGCCTTTTATTAACGAGTATCGATCATCCTGGTATGACTGACGCATAAAGAGAAATGTTAATTCATAACCGGTTGACAGTTAATATAGCGTGAGAAAACGACGTGATTGGTATCGTGTGTGGGGTAGATTTGTTCATTACTATTGTCTGATAGTAGATACTGTTAGTAGTTGATGAAGTTTCACGATTTTGAATCTTCCAATTTCGTTCGTTATTCCATAATCCTTTATTTATTTAATACCAGGAACGTAGTGTAACAAAGTGTATGGTTTAACTCGTTTGTCCACAAAATCTTGATGCAGTAATCAGATGATTTTCATGATCATATCTATCTAAATGTGGTTATTATAATAAATTTCAAGTTTGGTATGCTTAATTAATGAGATACCACTGTCGTATCAAAAATATAATGCGTACGTAATTGTAAATCACCAGTCATTCGTTTAAGATATCTAGCCGTCACACAAAAAAACACAATCAGACTTTTGTATCAAATAAATATGCAAATTCGGTTTTTCATAAAGTTCAAAAGGAATGTGATTTGTCATTTTTGATGAAAAAAGAAAAAATAATTTCTTATTTTTGAACTTAAGTATATTATCACAGTATTGGGATGCTCTCATTGACTCCGATCCACGTTCATACAATAATCAACATAATACTGTTTCTTCAGTATGGCTCATGTTAGCAGATATTGATAATTTCCGATGTCCTTGTACCTAACCTTTTCAACTTGGATCTCGTGACACAAATATTCACCATTAATGTCATTATCTGTGCATCCTTTATTATCATAAATGCTAACATAATAATGTTGTTAGAACATTTGATCGAACAAAAAATAGGTGCGCTAATAGATCGTTGACTAGGTTCCTGGTTTAGTGCGACTCGACAGAGCCACACAACTATCTTATTAAAATAATAAAAAAAAGTTCAGGTTATGTCGGGTTGGCCCGAAAAGTTTACTAAGAGTATATATTACTATGAAGCAATATGCAAATTGCATTTTAATTTATTTTCGCTATACATAACCTATATTATATATATGTATATTCTTTTTTTATTAATACTACATCGAAAAGGCATTAAATCTATCGGCAATAAATAATATTCGAATTATCATCTATACATAAGTGTCTAAATTAATTTTCTTATTAATAATTATTTCGACAATTAGCTTGCCATAATCAGTTTCTATAGATAGCGAAATTAATTTTTATAAGTGATGAAATTATTGTTTAAACTATTTGAATTCATAAATAAAATATATTAATGTATTCATTTGTGAAAGTTCATGTAAACTTATTTTTTTTCAAAAATAATTTAAACACTCATGTATGTCATTGTACTATCCATCTCGAAGTTTTTAAATATTTTCTTCGTTGAGAAAAAGTTTCCAAATTTTAATAAACTTTATTGCTTACAAATTATTTTTATTACTATGTAAAATATAGTTAACTTTTTCTATGACGAACTGAGAAAAAAAGTCCGTTATTGAAAATTATTATGTTTTCTTAAGGAACCATGGCACTTCTATATCGAATTGTTATGAAATTTTAAAAATCTGAATTAATATATTCAGAGTTCATATAGAAATTCATTATATCCAAAGTCGACCGTATAAAAATAGCTTGTATAATAATAAATAAATAGTAACTTCAACATCACTGCCACTTGAATCATATTCATCCACAATATTTCATTTAAGGATTAGATAATGTAGAGGATAAATTATTTATTGAGGTTCATGAAGAAATGGGTGTTTATTATTTTGTTGAACCTTATTAATATATTGAAAAAAGAGTTGTTCCTAGTAGTGGTGAAACTAAATGTTTTGAAGAGCAAACCTACTTTTAAAACATATAGACATCAATAATCTTTTTTAAAATCAGATAAAATAACCTTTTTTTCATATATTCGCTTTTTACCTTCTTAAACATTCAGAAAGAGTTTTTTTACAAAAAAGGTTTCTGGTTTTTGCTCAATTTGCAATATAAAGAAATAAAAAAAAGTATAGTTTTATCACTTACTGCAATTTAAAAAATTTTTTGTTGTTATTAATCAAAATCTAAATCAATCGCACACATTGAACTATCGGAACTATAAATTTAAACCGTACCCACATTTTTTGGGCGACGCTTGGTTCGTGCAGGTCCCTACACGGGATGTAAAAATAGAGAATTTATGATTGAATAATTATCGCATAAAAAACGCATAATGTTCAATAAATATCATGATTTCAAAAAAAAAAATCTGATAATTTCAGAATGATTCTAAGAGATTTTTGTTTGTCGGAAGAAGAAATTGTGGATCATAAAAAATTGTCGGTTTCAGATTCAATGTAATATAAAGCTAAAATTAATTTTGTATGAGTTGTTGATTTTTGTAAAATTAATCTTTTATAACAAACTGACTATTAGAAAAAAATTAAGACTCAGAATGTCAGAGATTGTTATACAGCAAAGAAGCTCTTCAAAGGGGTAAACAACATATTTATGTTTTATTGGCCAAATTAGTTTTGTTAAGTTTCGTCAATCGTCGTAAGGTTTCATCAGACAAACCCATTAATGAAACCACAAAATAGTTCGTCATGCATCATTAACAGTTCTACAGTCCTGTAAACCGGATAAATCCAGTTTTGGATCCAATTTTCTACATTTAATATTTTTTAGGCTATGGCTAAAAAATAGATGTAATTGATAAATATGATTTTCATTAGATAATTATGCAGTGCAACAGATGAACATTTTGTAATGCTTTATATTGAGGTATCATGAGATTACAACACGCATAGTAAATACATTCGTTTAAAGATTGTACTCACTGAGAAAATTTTTACTCAGTAGTAAGTAGATATCGAGATTATCTAACTAAATTATCATTTGTTTTTGTCAGCCATACAACGGTATAATAGCAATGCTGTAAAAACTAACGGAGTTTTTTTAAGTGAAATCTCGGTATATAATAATGTGTCTTGTTTTAACCACCGAGCTCGTAATAAATTTGAGGCAAAAAAAATTTATTTGCTATAAACGGCTGTTAGAATAAGCATCCATACGTATAAGTTTTATAAAGTGAGCTTAACTACTAAAGATTTGTATTTATCATAATGGTTTCCATTTAAGAATTCTTTAACAAAATAATTTTTTTTTTAGATCAAGTTATTAAAATAAGTAGTCATAACTTTATTATTCAACGTATATGTACTAAAATAAGAGTTTCATTTAGCGGACGGTTTACTTGTACATATTATTGATATAGCGATAATACTTAAATATCATAAGATAATCTAGATTAATCATTGTACAACCATAGGAAGACTTAAGTATGATTGGCTGTTTAAATCAATTTAATTTTACATTATTTATACAGTTTAAAGTACTTTTAAAAAAAATAAAGCTACGAAGAATAAACAAAAAAGAACTATATAGAAACGTTTATTAGGGTTGTAGGATTCCACTATTAAAAATAATCAAAATCCTTTGTTGTTTAGAAAAGTTAGCATAGTAATAACCTAACTCTATCTTTAGGAAGTTTCAATTATGCAACTTCTCTAAAACCAGAAATCATTTTATTATTTTTAATGGTGGAGTCCTACAACCCTAATAAAACTTTTTATTTGCTTCCTTTTTGTTTATTCTTCGTAGTTTTATTTTTTTTAAAAAGTCTTTAAACTGTATAAATAATGTAAAATTAAATTGATTAAACAGCCAATCATGCAAAAGTCTTCCTATTGATTGTACAACGTTTGCATTAAGAAGCATTGTTCAACATTTACATTAAGAAGCATTGTCCAACATTTACATTAAGAAGCATTGTCCAACATTTGCATCAAGAAAAGACTTCGAAGGCATACATTTCCTTTCTTGAAAGATCATTTGCGAAAAACACGGTGTGGTCATATTATAATACACATCATATTATCAAAGTTTTAGTTTTTTTTTACAATTTTATATAAATATATATCATGCTCATATACCATGGTCCAATATTTCGTCGTTTTTTTTTTAAAAAAAATAATTTAACATAAGTGCTTAATTCATATTCAAAAATTAATTATGGTTTATCGTATCCATAAAGTATTCATGTTGATAATTTTTTTTAGAATCATTGAAATAGTTGCAACTATCTACCACAATGAAGTTGCAAACAATAATGTTGACATAAAAATTTTACAAAAACGAGAGTTTAGAACATTGGTTACAAAATTTGTTATTACAAGTTCATATACTAAATATTTTCAAGTGACATCATGTTCAAAACCACCACCAAACCCAATATGTTGTGATGAAAAACCACCAAGCTCAATATGTTGTGATCAAAAACCAAAACCAAAATGTTGTGATGAAAAACCACCACCAATCCCAATATGTTGTAATGACAAACCACCACAAACACCAGCAGTACACACATCAGCAGTACACACACGAGCACAACACAATCCATCACACAATCAAACACACAATTCACCACACAATCAAACACACAATCCAACACACAAATCACCGGAAAAACAGTCACCTAGAAAAATTGCATCACCACGTTCAGCCAAATTTATACTAGTAGGCCGACAACATAATGCAACACACTGCTGGGTGACAAATCATTCATCTATTATATATACTGTGATTACTGTATCAAATACTTTTGTAACATATATACCAGACCTACAGCCACCAGGGCCACAGCAAAATCCAACACCGGTGCAACAACCAAATCCGCAATTATCAGAACCACCATCATCTGGAACGTCACCAGGACCGGTATCAGAATCTTCACAACCAAAGTCGCAACCGCAAACACAAATAGCATCATTACAACCAACAACATCAAATTTACAATCATATTCATCAACATCTTATTCATCAGCAACGCCATCATCTATGCCATCACCACCAAGTATGACCAGGTAATTTTCTAATACTGTATTTTTCATAGAAAATGCACAATATTTATTTATATTTTTTAAAATCTTAAACATTAGGAACACTGGAAATAATGCGCAGACTGCTGTTGTTACGGCTTTTACGTCAAGTTCTTCTTGTAATGGGCTATCTAGATTCAATTTCGTAATTGGATTCATTATTTTTGTTTTTATTATCAATAAAATTATTTAGTTATCAAACTGTAAAATACATTTATTACAAACTGATCTGATCAGTCTTCAATATATGTAATATTCTATATTTTATCTTCTATTGTAACTTTAACTCACGTATTAATAAAATTTTTATATCAATTTTGTTTCTTTTTCTTAACATCTTATTTCTTAAAGCATAATAAAATTTTGTAATTTCTGACTTGCATTTTATCTTTGCTGCAGAAACAAATCTGCTAATGATATTTTGGAATAAATTAAGTATAAAATTTCTGTTTAAGATTAAATTTTAATTGAATCATATACTTCCATATTCTCATTTCAGAAACTTAATTTCTGCCAAGTAAAATTTTAGTTACGATTGTCATCCAAAAATTTTCGAAGTATTTGTAATGCAGAAAGTTACAAACAATTACTCAAGTATCTTCATAAAAATATGCAGTCATATTTTTTGTCGATCTACTCGTCATTTTCCATAATGGTTAACCAATCAAATTAGCTATTGCTAAAAAATTTGTCGGTTAAATTCTACTACACTACTATTTTTTCATTCGAATAAATGAATCAGAATCTGTTAAGTCAATCAAATTGTAAATTTCAAATACCGTATATTACTGAAAATAAGCACCCCCTTTTTATTATAAGGGGTGCTTATTTTCGGAAACAAATCATTCATTTTCCTATTTTTGGTCTAAACCAAAATTTTTTTTTGCGATTTTTTTTTCTCAGTGATGCATTGACATCACAATCACATGGGCAATCCCAATAGTAACAAGAAAAGGCCGGTACATGCAACTTCTTGATGATAACGCCACAAAGTAATTTAATGAGTTACTGGTTTGGGTAACATAACTGTAATTATGCATACCATACGTAATCTGAATTTATAAAAATATATTTAATTGTGATGTTTAATTAATTATACGTATTTCTAAACAAAAATGCCGCAAGTTGTAAAATGAAAAAAAGTTGTTAAACATCAAATTACTAAACATAAACGAACAGCATATTCTGTGGTACAAAAACTTAAAGTTGTTACTTAAGGAGGGACAGAAATCAGGTGATTTCTGTTTACTAAGAGGCTGATTGAAATCTTAGCAAACTAAATTTAATTATTACAATATTTGACCTGATCGAATTACAAACCTCCCACCCCCTTAAAAAATTACCTGATTTCTGTCCCTTCTCTTATGCTAAACAACATGGTCTTAATAAAGCTGCAAATTACTTTGATCTTGATGCCTCTATGGTAGGATGTTGGGTCAAAGCAAATGAGAATTTGGAAACTGCAACAAATAAAAATTCTAAGCAATTTGGTTCTGGTAGAAAAGTATTTTTTTTTGAAGCAGAAGATAAGCTTTATAATTAGATTATTGAACAAAAAAAACAAGGTTTAGCTGTAACTTATATAAATATATAAACAAAAATGTTAGAAATTTTACAATAACATGATATAAAAGTTTTATATGGTAGATCAATTAGAAGTTTTAATGCATCAGTTTCTTGGTTATATAACTTTTTATATAGATATAAATTATCCTTGAGATGATGTACAAAAAAATCGTAAAAATTACCTAATCAAGTCAAAGAATTGTTAGATAATTTTTATAAGTATATTAATAATCTTAAAATTAAAAGATCATATGAATTATATAATATCTACAATATGAATGAAACTCCAGTTTGGTTTGATTTGAATGAAAATTTTACTGTTAATCCAAAAGGCGAAAAATCAATTCATATTTATGATACTAATAATGAAAAAACTAGATTTATTATTGTTTTAACATGTGCAGCAGATAAATATTATATTTAATAATTTTTTAAATTATTAATTATTTAAATTTATTATTTATTATTATTTATATATATTAATATATTAATTATATAGATGGAACTAAATTACCACCTATTTGTATTTTTTTAAAAAAAAATTAAACAATAATAAACAAATTCCTTTGGGTATAGTAGTATGGTTTCAACAAAATGGATGAATGGATTCTAATTTAATGAAAACATATATTAATTATTTTGTAGATTTTAGAAAAAATAAAGAATTAAATAATAGTTTTGCAATGATGGTATATGATTCTTTTAGAGGACATCTAGATAAATCTATTAAACAAAAATTTTATAAAAATAATATTGATTTGGCAGTAATTCCAGGTGGCTTGACTAGTATTTGCTAACTATTGGATGTTGCAATTAATAAGCTATTTAAAGATAATTTTCGTAAAGAATAATATTTATAGATGGCTAAAAGCAGTTGTGGAAAAACGAAATTAGGAAATCTTAAAAAAGCTACACTAAGTGATGTATGTGAATGGGCTAAAAATTTATGGTTAAATATTTCTAATGAAATTATTATTGAATCTTTTAAAACATGTGGTATAACAAAAATTTAGATATTTTAGAAAATTCTGATAAAGAAAATAAAAGCAAAAATGATGATTTAGTTATTAGTATTGAAAATAGTTTTAGTACTAATACTACTAATATTGATAATTATATTAGTGATAATGATGATATTGGTAATTATTTTACTGATGAAGGATAAAATATTTTGTTTATTAAATTATATTAAATAAATAAACTTTTATATTATTATAGTTATTATATTAAATATAAAATACATAATTATAAAAAATTATTTATTTTGAAGAAGGTGTTTATTTTCAGAAATAATACAAATCAAAGAGGTGCTTATTTTCAGGAGGTGCTTATTTTCAGTAATATATAGTAGTTGATATATTCTTTTTTCAAATTTTATTCATTATGTTCAATATGGATCATAAAACTATGAGAGTTTTACTCTTCATATATAAAAATTTTTTATTCCTTCAAAGAGCCACAAAATGTAACTAAAAATTAAGCCAATAAAAATTAAATGAATTGATTTCTATTTTTGAAATAGGCCTGACTGAAAAATAACCTTTATATTATGCAAATTAGGAAGTTAAGTTACATTTTTCTTAGCCAATTTCTATTTGTACACAGGGTATATAATTTGTCACTCACTTGCTTAATAAGAATAAGTTCAAGATTATATATTACAATTTATGACAGTACAAATATGGGAGATGCCTCGTTGTCATGTAAGTTTCAGTTTTTTGCTAGAATCAACTTCCTGTTAAATGCTCAATGAAATCTTAGATTAAAGATTAGTAGAGAAAATAGACTACTAATACAAATACTGTAAATAACAGTAATTCACATTTAATGATTAGATCCTTAATTTGTATTCAACTTGTATAGTGAAGCTGCTAAACCTCCAAAAAATATCAGTAACTAATCCTTATAATTTGACTTTTAATTTTATCTGACTTGTGCAGTTAAGCCATTAAATCTAAAAATATAATTAAGCAAATATTGCTATATTGATTTTACATCTAACTTGTATAGTCAAGCTGTCACAAAATCTTATCATTCAACTGGTGAGGCAATTTGTTACTGACTCTTACTTAAACAATTAGAATACTAAAAATTTAACCAGAGGTCATAGTGGTTAGAGGTAAGAAGAATGGAGAGCCAACTAAGTTAGACTTATTTGTCAAACACAGCAAAACAAAAAAAACAACAAACTGATTAAATGCAACTATTATAATACTAATATATAAATTACATAATATGTAACTTAAACCTATTAGTGTATTACTATATATGCATTACAACTAATTAGACTATGATGTATTTTGTATATTACTGATTATGGTAATTATCTGGTTTATGACAAAAGGGTTACTTATAACTTTGTCTTGAATAGATTTCATTTGTCACTCACTTGCATAATAAGAATAGGTCCAAGGTTATATATTACAATTTATAACAGTATAAATATAGGAATTAACAAGAATTATAATTTATTTAAATATATTATATTGAGCTAGTTTGAGTAAGTACCAATTGACATGCTTTAATTTAATTAAAACTAAGTTAGCATATTTTTTTATAATACAAGATGTTTAAAAACCCATTAATTCTGAAATTCAAATCTGTATTGTGATTACTAATCTCAAATATGATAACATTGCTTTTGAGTTCTAACCATCTATAGATTTATTCTATATTAAACTTATACTACTCTTTATTGTTGATATTATCTTACTAATCCTTAAGCTATGAGCTGTAAACCAATCCTGATAATCTGCATGCATTGTTATTTGTTTTATTACTGATAACATAGTTGCAACTAACATTTATTCCTTAGTTTTTAACAAAAATAAGAGTTTATCTTTATTCATATTAGGTTTTATATCAAGATACTTTTCTAGCAACTATACTGGACAAAATATATTGTTTATTTTCTCAATTAAAATAAATTTTTTTATTTATAAAAAGATCATTCTTTGATTTTTAAATTTTAATTTATAAAAGACTTTTCTTATTTTCTATATTATATAATCTTAATAAACAAAACTTACTAGGTCTTCTCATAGTATGAAATTCTAGTATTACTAGTACAAGATCATATTACCAAAAAATAAATCTATATTATTAAGAGATTTAATATAGTATTTTTTTAATACAACTAGAAAGAAAAGATCACATGACTATGGAGCCTTATGATCCTATGTTCTTAATAGCTTTAAACTATGAACCACTTCTTTAATTCTAAATTTTTCTATTAAATCTATTTTTTCACTTCTTTTAAATTTTTTTAATAGTATATTTAAACATAATTATACTTGTATAACTTGATTTGACATATCTAACCATCTAATAAAGATTATCAGTATTTTGATATTTGCTTGTTTAACTTTTTTTTTTTTTAAATATTAATAATGAGGCCATGCCTTTAACTTTATTAAAATTCAATTGAAGTTTTTACAAAGAAAAGCTTGCTTTTAAATTATATATGAAGAATAA